TCTTTTTTTCTTTCTCTTCTTTTTTTTTGCTTTTGTTCGGTGGGAAGCTGTCGGAGGGAGGAGCAGCAGAGCAGAGGTGAGTATTAGAGTACCAGAGTTCTGGGCACTAGCTGGAAAAAGAACTGGAGTGACGTCACAGGGAGGCTATGTTCTGATTGGCTGGTAGGAAATCTGCACTAAATTTGAAAAAGAACCCAGGAACGAAGTATCAACATATTTAACTGATTCATTATAATAAATTATATAAATTAATAAAGTAATTAACTAAGTAGAAATGGCTGGACGGGTGATGTGTTGTAGCTGTATGATGTGGGAGCTGGCTGATCCCATTGCGAACTGCAGTGTTGGTTGCTCAAGGAACTTCGGCTCAGAGTTGATGAGCTGGAATTGGAGCTTCAAACACTGCGGCACATCCGGGAGGGGGAGAAGTACCTGGACACTTTGTTTCAGGAGGCAGTCACACCTGGTAGGTTAAGTACTTCAAACTTGGTCAGTAGCCAGGGACAGCAGGGTTTGACTGTAAGTGAGGCAGGTAGAGGGTCCTGCAGTCCGGAACAGAGGAGTCTCAGCTCTTGACCTTGCCCAACAGGTACGAGGTACTTGCTCCATGTGTGGATGAGGAAAAGGGCTGCAGGGTGGATGAGCCAACTGACCACTGCACCATGGTACGGGAGCCATTCAAGAGGGGGGAGCAAAAAGACAAGTGGATTCTATAATTAAGGGGATAGACAGTATCCTTTGAAAGCAGAATCGAGAGTCTCGCATGGTGTGTTGCCTGCCCGGTGCCAGGATAAGGGATATCTCTGACCGGCTTGAAAGGATATTAAAGCGGGAGGGGGAGGATCCAGTTGTTGTGGTCCACGCCAGAACAAACAACACAGGCAAGACTAGGAAAGAGGACCTGTTCAGAGATTATCAGGAGCTACGAACCAAATTAAAGAACAGGTCCTCAAAGGTTATAATCTCTGGATTACTGCCCGAGCTACGTGCTAATTGGCATAGGTACATGAGAATAAGGGAAGTAAACAAGTGGCTAAAAGAGTGGTGCGGGAAAAAGGGGTTCCTTTTCATGGGGCACTGGCATTAGTATTGGAACAGGAGGGATCTGTACCATTCAGACAGTCTCCACCTGAATCAATCTGGGACCAATGTTCTAGCGAAAAGGGTAAATAGGCTAGTCAACAGGACTTTAAACTAGAAAGTTGGGGGTAAGGGAATGGTGAAACTTGCCTCAGTGTGAAACAAAGCAGCAGGTTAACATCTGTAATGGTGGATTCAACCATGTGGAAAAATATGAAAGAAATGACAGGGAAGGAGAACTCAGGAGAGGTTATTAAAGTCTACAGAACAGACAAATTGGACAGTGTGTTTGGAAAGGGCTAGCAATCAAACACTGGAAAACCGAATGACAATGAAAAGAGGGACGGTTAATACAGGACTGAAGGTGTTATATCTGCATGCACGCAGTATAAGGAATAAAGTAAATGAGCCTGTGGTGCAGATTGAAATTGGCAGGTATGACATGGTGGGCATCACCGAGATGTGGCTGGGATCAGGATTGGGAACTGAATATCCAAGGATATACATCCTATCGAAAAGATAGGCAGGTGGGCCGGGGTAGGGTGGGGGGGGGGGGGGAGTGGCGGTGGTTTGCCTTATTAGTAAGAAATGAAATTAAATCAATAGGAAGAAACAAAGTAGGGTCAGATGGAGCAAAATCTGTGTGGGTAGAATTGAGGAGCCGCAAAGGTTAAAAAAAACCATAGCTGGAGTTGTGTACAGGCCTCCAAACAGTAGTCAGGAACTGGGGTGCAAGATACACCAGGAGATAGAAAAGGTATGTAAGATAGGCAAAGTCACAGTGATCACGGGGGATTTCAATATGCAGGTGGACTGGGAAAATCATGTTGGTAGTGGACTGCAAGGAAAGGAGTTTGTGGAATGTCTACGAGATGGCTTTTTGGAGCAGCTCATGGTGGAGCTCACAAGGGAACAGGCAATACTGGGTTTAGTGTTGTGCAATGAGGCAGACTTGATAAGGGAGCTTAAGGTGAAGGAATCCTTAGGAGGCAGTGATCATAAGATGATAGAATTTACTCCGCAATTTGAGAGGGAGAAGATAGAATCAGAGGTATCGGTATTACAGCTGAATAAAGGCGACTACAGAGGTATGAGGGAGGAGCTGGGCAGAAGAGGAGCCTAGCAGGAAAGAAAGTTGAACAGCAATGGCAGGAGTTTCTGGGAGTAATTCAGGAGAACAGCAAAAATTCAACTCTAGGAAAAAGAAGCATGGTACAGGGAGGATGAGGCAACCATGGCTGACTAAGGAAGTCAGGGATAGCATAAAAGCAAAAGAGAAAGCATATAATGTGGCAAAGGGCAGTGGGAAACCAGAGGACTGGGAAGCTTACAAAGACCAACAGAGGGCAACAAAAAAAAGAAATAAGGAGGGAGAAGATTAAATATCAGGTAAGCTAGCCAGTAATATAAATGAAGACTGTAAGAGTTTCTTTAGGTAGATAAAGGGCAAAAGAGAAGCAAAAGTGGACATTGGACCACTGGAAAATAACGGTGACTGATAGTAGCGGGGAACAAGGAAATGGCTGAGGAACTGAATAATTACTTCGCGTCAGTCTTCACGGCAGAAGACACGAGTAATCTCCCAAAAATTCAAGAGAGTCAGGGGGCAGAGCTGAGTATGGTGGCATCACCAAGGAAAAGGTGCTAATAAAACTGATTGGCCTGAAGGTGGATAAATCACCTGGACCAGATGGACTACACCCCAGAGTTCTAAATGAGATAGCTGAAGAGATAGTGGAAGCGTTAGTGGTGATCTTTCAGGAATCACTAGGGTCAGGGAGGGTCCCAGAGGACTGGAAAATCAATGTGACACCCCTTTTTAAAAAGGGAGTAAGGCAAAAGATGGAAAATTATAGGCTGATTAGCCTAACCTCAGTCATGGGTAAGATTTTGGAGTCCATTGTAAAGGATGAGATTTCTGAATATTTGGAAGTGTATGGTAAAACAGGGCAAAGTCAGCATGGTTTCATCAAGGGGAGGTCATGCCTGACAAATCTGCTAGAATTCTCTGAGGAAGTAACGAGCAGGGTAGACCAAGGAGAGCCAATGGATGTTATCTACCTGGACTTCAAGAAGGCCTTTGACAAGGTGCCGCACAGGAGGCTGCTGAGTAAGAAGAGGGCCCATGGTGTTAGAGGCAAGGTGCTAGCATGGATAGAAGATTGGCTGTCTGACAGAAAGCAGAGAGTGGGGATAAAAGGGTCTTCCTCAGGATGGCAGCCGGTGACAAGTGGTTTCCGCAACGGTCAATTTTGGGACCACAACTTTTCACTTTCTACATTAATGATCTAGATGAAGGAACTGTGGGCATTCTGGCTAAGTTTGTAGACAATACAAAGATAGGTGGAGGGACAAGTAGTATTTAGGAGGTGGGGAGGCTGCAGAAGGATTTGGACAGGTTAGGAGAGGGGGCAAAGAAGTGGGAGATGGAAGACAACGTGAGAAAGTGTAAGGTCATGCACTTTGGTAAGAAGAATAAAAGCATGGACTATTTTCTAAATGGGGAGAAAATTCAGAAGTCTGAAGTGCAAAGTGGCCTGGGAGTTCTAGTCCAGGATTTCCTCAAGGTAAACTTGCAGATTGAGTCAGTAGTCAGGAAGGCAAATGCAATGGTGGCATTTATTTTGAGAGGACTTGAATATAAAAGCAGGGATGTACTACTGAGGCTTTAAAAGGCTCTGGTCAGGCCACATTTGGAGTATTGTGTGCAGTTTTAGGCCCCATATCTCAGGAAGGATGTACTGGCCCTGGAGCAGGTTCAGAGGAGGTTCACGAGAATGGTCCCAGGAAGGTAAAGTTTAACATATGAGGAACATTTGAGGACTCTGGGACTATACTCATTGGAGTTTAGAAGGATGAGGGGGGATCTAATTGAAACTTACAGAATACTGAATGGCCTGGACAGAGTGGATGTTGGGAAGATGTTTTCATTTGTAGGAGAGACTAGGACCTGAGGGCACAGCCTTAGAGTAAAGGGAAGACCTATTAGAATGGAGATAAGGAGAAACTTCTTCAGCCAGAGAGTGGTGAATCTATGGAATTCACTGCCACAGAAGGCCATTGAGTACATTTAAAGCAGAGATAGATAGGTTCTTGATTATCAAAGGGATCAAGGGTTCCAGGGAGACAGCGGGAGAATGGGGTTTAGGAACTTATCAGCCATGATTGAATGGTGGGGCAGACTTGATGGGCTGAATGGCTCCTATGTCTTATGGTCTTAAGAAGTTCTGCAGAATAAGATCCCCTAAGTATGAGGAGTAGTAGCGGACCGATTATCTGTTTTTATGATTTGTTTAAGGGATATACACTGAGCAGAACTCCAGGGGTAATTTCTCTGGCCTCTTGAAATTAATGCTATGGGATATGTCTTTGCCTCTAAAGGTGGAAATGACAATTTGGCTTTATGTTTCATTCCAAAAGTGCTGCAGCCCTCAGGTATATATATTGATGTATCAGCTTGGATAATGCAATCAAACATCTGAAGTTGGATAGAAAATCAGTGTAATGAAATACATAATTACATTGTTTCAATCTAATATGAAATACTTTTGGTTTGTACCAATTATTGACAGAAGTTCAAAGAAGAGCAAAATACTGCAGATGCTGGAAACATGAAACAAAAACAGAGAACGCTGGAGAAATTGAGCAGTTTTAGAAGCCTCTGTGGAAAGAGAAACAAAGTTAAAAATTCGTGTCCAAGATGGCTCTTCTCTGGTTCTGCTATAATTGAAAATTGCTACTAATTTGCGCTCAGTAATTAACAAACAAAGTGAACATGACCTAGCAAGTACTCTAGCATCATATTGTTCCAAATGCAGCCAATGGTGTCTCTTTGATTTACTTCCAATAATAACAACATCTAAATACATTTCTCACTTATCATACTCACAATCAGAATATAAAAGTGACCATTATTTTACCTTGTCCTTTCTCCAAGCGTACCATTAACTTGGTTGAGGAATCTTCTACAATCCTGCAAATAACAATACGTTTAAAATACTGTCTTTTTCACTTTCAAACAGAGATTATTAAGTTAATAACTGTCAAAGAATTATCAAGCTTACTTCGTGTAAATAAAAATAAGTGCTATTTATTCGTTAAGAAGGAGTGGAGATGTGTTAGAAATTTCATATACTCCACGTAATGCAACTCATGGCAACACAATTAAGCTTCTTTAAAAAATCACAGCTAAAACGTTAAATGTTCAATTTCAATATTTTTGCTTATGATATGAGCTCCTTTTGGAAACTAATGCAAAGTATATTTAAAATTACAGCTAGTGATGTATCAATTAGAAATGTGATATGTATTTCCCATCATTTTATCGCCCAGGATGAACGATGTGACTTTCATATATGTAAAAATTATTTTCAACCTGCTTCAATATTTCTTTTTATTCATGCATGGAACACGTGTTTTGTTACAGGTCAACATTTATCATCTATTCCTACTGGGCTCAAAAAATGGTAATGAACTTTCTTCTTCTACTGGTCCTGTCAATGTGACATACGTACACACAACGCTGTTAAGCGGGGAGTACCAGGTTTCTTTAAATCAATGCTCCCTCTAAAATGCACAGATGCACAGCCATTGAGCAATCGACTTATGGGAAGAAGGCTCCACACAAATAGCACAATTATTCAGCAATTTTAAAAGGAGCATACTGTGGAATAAACAGCCATCTGTCAATCTGGGTAATGCAGCATGTGATAAGGAAATGACCAAGACGGGAAAGCCTACTGGATCTCATCCTCATCAATCTATCTATTGCAGGTACATCTGACCTTGGTAGGTGTGACAGCTGCACAGTGCATGTGAAGGCGGAGTCCTATTTTCACACTGAAGATATCCTCTACTGTTTTCAAAACCAGAAGTTGCTGGAAAAGCTCAGCAGGTTTGGCAGCAACTGAAGGAAATATGAGAGTTAAAGCTTTGGACCCAGTGACCCTTCCTCCGAACTAATAGTAGCTGGGAAAACATCAGTTTATATGCAAAAAATACTCCCTACCCCAACCCCCTCCCTATTTTCTGCATATAAACCAAAATTTTCCCAGCTACCATCAGTTCTGAGGAAGGGTCACTGGATCCAGATCCAAAACGTTAACTCTGATTTTTTTCTTCACAGATGCTGCCAGACCTTTTCCAGCAATTTCTGTTTTTGTTCCTGATTTACAGCATCTGCAGTTCTTTCAGTTTTTATCCTCTATCATTTTGTCTGGCACTGTCACATTACCAAATAGGATAGATTCAGAACAGACCTAGCATTCATGAGGTTCTTCAGCAGCTTCAAACTGTATTCAACCACAACTTATAACCTCATGGCCCAGCATAATCCACATTCTAAAATGTTTATCAAGGCAAACAATCAACACTGACTCAATGAAGAGTGCAGGATGGCATACAAGGCACAATACCAAACAAGTGTTAAAATTACATGTCAACCTGGTTACACTACAGACAACGGTAAACAATGGGAAAACATTATGGGAAAGATAGAGCTAAGTGAATTCAGAGCTAAACAATCAGGTACAAACTCAGTAATCCTAGCACAGTGAATCATGGATGTTAGTGGACAATTTAGCAACTGAATGGAGGCGACAACTCCACAAATATTCATATCCTCAATTATGTGATGCCCAGCACATCAGTTAAAAAGAATAGGTTGGGTTATTGTGGTACAGTGACAGCGTCCCTGCCTCTAAGCCGGGAGGCCGGGGTCGAAGTCCCACTACTCCAGAAGTGTGTAATAACATCACTGAACAGGTTGATTAGAAAACACCTAAAAAGACCAAAAAGAAGTATATGGCTTCACCAGGAGAGGATGATCCATATTAGTCTCCAGCTGAGGTCTTCAACCTTCAGCCAATGCAATTCACTCCTTCTGATATCAAGAAATACTCTCAGAATCAACATGATCTGCAGCACAAAATAGACCCTTCCACCCATCATGACCACATTGGTCAAAAACAACCACCTAACTATTCTAAACCCATTTTCATGCACTTGGCCCAGAGCCTTGGCATCACAGGTGCACATCTAAATACTTCTTAAATAATGAAGGCTTCTGCCTTTACCACCCTTACAGGCAGTGAGTTCCAGATTCCCACCCTCTGAGTGAAAAGTTTTTTTTGTTATACCACCTCTAAATCTATGCCCCCGGTCAATAATATTTTTATCAAGGGTAAATGTTATTTTTCTGTCTATCCTATCCATGCCCCTCGTAATTTTATACTTCTTAATCATGTCCTTTATCAATCTTCTTTGCTCCAAGGAAAACAACCCTAATCTGCTCAATCCCTCTTCATAAACCTCCTCTGTACCCTCTCTTGTGCTATCACATCCTTTCCATAATGTAGATTCCAGAACCTCACACAATATCCTTGCTGTGGATTAACCAAAGTTTATACAGTTCCAGCATAACCTCCTTGCTTGTAAACTTAACACCTCAGCTAATAAAGGCAAGTATGCCTTCTTGATCACTTTATCCAACTGATACTGTCCTGATACTTTAATGAATTGGTGAACATGCACTCTAAGGTCCCTCTGATCCTCAGTGCTTCCCAGGATACTATCATTTATCATGCCTCGTTTGTCCTGCCCAAGTGCATCTGGTTTGAATTCCATTTACCACTGATCAGCCATGTTTTTTTTTATTCATTTGTGGGATGTGGGTGTCGCTGTCTGGCCAGCATTTCTTGACCATCTCTAGTTGTCCTTGAAAAAGTGGTGGTGAGCTGCCTTCTTGAACAGCTGCAATCCTCCTGCTGTGGGTTGCCCCACAATGCTATTAGGGAGGGAATTCCAGGATTTTGACCCAGCGACAGTGAAGGAACGGCAATATATTTCCAAGTCAGGATGGTGAGTGACTTGGAGGGGAGCTTGGAGTTGGTGGTGTTCCCATACGTCTGATGCCCTTGTCCTTCTAGATGGACGTGGTCATGAGTTACCAGCCTATCTACATCCTCCTGCAATTTAAGCCTATCTTCTCCACTAATTATCACCCCACCAAATTTTGTATCATCTGCAAATTTACTAATCAACTCTCCTACATTCAAGTCTAAATCATTTAAGTAAACCAGAAACTAAAATGGTGGCACTGGCAAGGTAGGCAGCGTTCGGGATGAGCCCATCCACTCCAGATGGCCACTTCTTCCCTTCTTTCCTTGCCCTTTTTATCTTCTTTTTCTTTTATTCGTCTTCTTTTTGTCGATAGCAGAGGAGGTGACACTGCAGAGGAAAGCGTCCAGAGTGGGAGACTTGACATTGTGGCAGCTTGGTCTGGCAACAGAGCGAGGTACTCCTGGTTGTGGTAGGCCCATAGCGGGGCTTCCAGGTATCAGAAGCAGCAGCAGCAGTGATTTTTCCTTCACAGATGCTGCCAGATCTGCTGAACTTTTCCAACAACTTATGTTTTTGTTCCTGATTTACAGCATCCACAGTTCTTTCGGTTCTTATTTAGTATTTAACTTTCCTTAAATTTGGTTGAGGTACCCAATCAAATGTGTTTTGAAAGTCCATCTACATCAACAGCCAAACAGGAAGCACTCAGGATGCTTTCATTCTTAACCATTCAAGTGCCAACACCTGGAAAACTACAGGCCAGTCAGACTAACCTCAGTAGAGGGGAAACTACTGGATGCAATTCTGTGAGCCCTGTACAACTAAGCCGAACATGATGCTATGAACTTGGCTCTGGCTGCATTCCCCAGATGAGCCATCACCCTCATTACTATGAGTACAAAACAGTAGTTGGAAAGTGAGATGCACATCAGAAATTCCTGCAGAAATTGCATGTTTGTCTTGATTAGGAGGTAAGCAAGGATCACAGATGCTGGAAGTCAGATGATAAAACGTGGAGCTGCAGGAGCACAGCAGGTCAGACAGCATCAGAGGAGCAGGAAAGTCGATGTTTCGGGTCCTGATCCGAAATGTCAACATTCCTGCTGCTCTAATGCTGCCTGACCTGCTGTGCTCCTCCAGCTCCACTGTTTGTCTTGATTGGTGGTCATTTGTTCCTTCTCTGCCTGCATACTCTTAAGGTCTGGGGAAACCACATCTATTAATATGTTCTCAACTTCACAGTTGCACTGCACTGGATGCCAGCTGCTATTCAAGTTCTGAAATCTGCAGCTCAAGCTGCTGCTCCTGACAACATATGCATATATGGTTATTCATGGGAGGCATCATCAAAACAGTACAGAACAGTAGTTGGAAAGTGAGATGTACATCGGGAATTCCTGCAGAAATTGCATGTTTGTCTTGAGTAGGAGCTATTAGCTTAGTCAAAACCGAAAGAACTGCAGATGCTGTAAATCAGGAACAAAAACAGAAGTTGCTGCAAAAGCTCAGCAGATCTGGCAGCATCTGTGAAGAAAAAATCAGAGATAATATTTCAGGTCCGGTGACCGTTCCTCTGTTCTGATTTTTTTCTTCACAGATGCTGCCAGACCTGTCGAGCTTTTCCAGCAGCTTCTGTTTTTGAACTATTAGCTTGTTCCTCCCAACACAAATATTGCTTTGCCTGCTCAGTATTTGCAATATTTTCCATTTTTTAATTAAATATAATGTCCTTACTGTTTCAAATTCAGAATCCTTAATTCTTTTAAATGCATCAGCAACAAACTCCATGTAAAACCATTCATCAGCCATTTCTTGCCGCTGAGTCTCGGATGTCATTCTACACAGACTTTCTGTTATAGCAACCTGTAAATTATAATCTGTAAAAAAAGAAATGTCATTTTACAAACTGGACTAATTATGTCTTAAAACACAAACATAGCACTTTGGTTAGCATCTCACATTGTTCACGGTGTTGCTATTCTGTAAGTTTTTAACTGGGTTAAGCTTATTTAAAGGCAGTTCTTTCCTAAATTAATAACTTAATGAAAATGTAATCTGTTGCTAACTTTGTACATAGTTTTATTTGTTAATAAAGTTATATTTTAGTGACACTTCAATGAATCATAGAAACTTACTGCACAGAAAGTGGGCATTCAGCTGATGACTTATTCTAATAGCATGAAGAATCACTTGTGCTTAGTCCCAAAGTTCTTGCCTGTTGACTGCAACACAAAGATCCTCATCTTCAAGAACCTGAACAACTCCCTTTTCAAATTATTTATGGTATCAGTTCCACCGACTTCTAGGTTGAATTTTCCAAATACAGATAACTCTGAGTTAGAAGCTTTATCATGTACTGAAAACAACAAATACTGGAGATCACAACAGGTCAGACACCATCCATGGAGAGGGAGCAAGCTAACATTTCAAGACTAGATGACTCTTCAGCAGAGCTCTGATGAAGAGTCACCTAGTCTCGAAAAGTTAACTTGCTCTCTCTCCATGGATGCTGTCTGACCTGCTGTGATCTCCAGCATTTGTTGTTTTCAGTACAGATTCCAGCATCTGCAGTAAATTGCTCTTAAACTTTATCACATGTTCATTTATGGATCATTTTATGATGTTTAAAAATTTATGATCTTTGATTATTGACCCAGTTACTATACAAAGTTGTTATTTCCATCTGTTCCATCAAAACCTTTCAACATTTTGAAACTCCACATGAAAATCAAATTTTAACTTTCTCCATCCCAAAGTAATCTCTTCACCTGTTAAATTTCTGTCCTCATTTCTGGTAATATCATAGTAAAGCTAATCTTTAGCCTTTTTAAGGCATTTGTACATGTCCTCAAGTGAGATGCCCAGCAATGCTCTTTTCAAAATGTTTACTATATCAATCATTCCGAAAATGGAGTCTCTATTTATTGAATCATGTGTGATGGGAATACTTTTTCGCCAGTTAACTTTATCAAAACCCTCATTCCTTCAAAATTTCTATTAAGTTAGTTGCTGTTCCAAGTAGAACAGTTCTGTCTTTTCCAACCTCTCCTCAGGATATAAACCCCTCATCTGTGGGAACATTCTGGTAAAGCACCTCTGGTTTCAAGGACATTTTTTCCTGATATGTGACGCCCAGCTATGTCTTAACCAGTGATTTATACCTTTACAAGCATGATCTCTGCTTTCATATTATACTCCTCAAACATAAAACCAAGATATCCATGTACCTTTTTAAACCACTTTTCAACTTTGTGGACATAAGCACCAAGATCTCTCATCTATATTTTTCTAGCATCATGCCTAGTATACTGACTTTCCATATTAGTCCTCCCACGTTGATATCACTTCAACTTATCCACACTGATCTCAATCTGTAACGCATCTGCTGACCTGACAATATTGTAAGTCATCCTAAATGCCAAACTACCTTCAACACCATCCATTATCACCGAATCACATGAGCAATACGGCACAGTGGAGGCTACTTGGCACATGTGTCTGCATCAAGACTTTGTCAAGTTTCATATCAAACACAATTTATTGCAGTAACACCTATAAACTTTATAACGTTTTTCTCTACACACAGACCTAGATCATTTATAGAAATTGAAGAGCACAGAACCCAAAATTAAACCCTCAGGAGCACCACTGCAAGCCCTCCCAAGTCTTAATAACATCTATACACCATTACATTTTGATTCCTGTCACCAAGTAAATCCATGTCTTTTTCCTCTTCATTCCCAGACTTGCATCTTCTTAATAAGGCAGTTTTTTTTTCTATTTGTCCACAGGATTAAGGCATCGCTGGCTAGGCAGCATCCCTAATTACCCAGAGGGTAGTTAACAGTCAACAACATTGCTGTGGGTCTGGTGTTAACATGTAGACCAGACCAGGTAAGGATGGCAGTTTCCTTCCCAAAAGGACATTAGTGAACCAGATGGGTTTTTCGGACAATCGGCAATGGATTCACGGTCATCATTAGATTCTTAATTCCAGATATTTTATTGAATTCAAACTCCGCCATCTGCTGTGGTGGGATTTGAACCCAGGTCCCCAGAACATTTCTGGGTCTCTGGATTAACAGTCCAGCGATAATACCAATAGGCCATCGCCTCCCCCAAATAGATATATGTTTACTGCACTAACTTGATTAACCTGTTACCTCAAGTAATTCAATCAACATAGTAAAATTCAACTTATGGTAAACAGATCCATATTTGTCTGCTTAGTTAACCAGAATTCACCAAATTAAATTTCATTTTGTTCCCAATACTTGATTTGAATGAATTCTGATTATGCACCAGCCCTGTAGTCTCCTAGTTTATTCCGTTTCCTGAATAACATTTGCAATCTCCCATTCCCCAGGTTCTGTTGCCATACCAAATGCAAAATGAAAGACTTTTTTGATTAACGTTTCCATTTCTGCTTTTTTTTTTCCAACAATTTTAGAAGCATTACATATCGCCTAGATAAACTTCAGTAATGTTATTCTGTTCACTAAGCTTTAACTCTTTTTTAAAATTCTGTCTGTAATATCCTTTTCTTTTAGTTTAAACTTCACATCATTCACATCCATTGGGAAGATGGATGCAAAGTTTTCATTTAATGTGTTAATGCTTTCCATTTGCCCCTACACAAAATTTCCTTTTTGGGTCCTTGCCCAAACTAATTATTTTCCCTAGCCAGCATCAAACAGGTTTAGATTTCAACTCATTGTGGAGCTGGAGGAACACAGCAGCCAGGCAGCATCACAGGAACAGGAAAGCTGACGTTTCGGGTCGGAACCCTTCTTCAGAAATGGGTGAGGGGAACGGGGCTCTGAAATAAATAGAGGGAGGGGGTTGGGCTGGGGAAGGTAAGTGGGATGGTGATAGCATGTAGGTAGTGGTGTGGATTGGTCAGTGAGGTGGGAGGAGCAGATAGATGGGAGAGAAGATGGACAGGTCAAGGAGGCGGGGATGAAAGGGAGGGTTGGTCTTGGGATGAGGCCAGGGGTGGAGAGATTTTGAAGCTAGTAAAGGTGGGATGGCGATGGGAGAGTACAGGTAGGTAGTGGTGGGGATTGGTCAGTGAGGTGGGAGGAGCACATAGGTGGGAGAGAAGACGGACAAGTCAAGGAGGCAGGGATGAGAGGGAGGGTTGGTCTTGGGATGAGGCCGGGGGTGGGGAGATTTCGTATTTTGTATATTACGTTAGTTTTATTAGTTGCGGGTATGGGGTCCTTTATGTTCGCCAGTAGCTGTCACAGGGTGGTTGTTGGTTTGTGGGCTACCCTGATACCTAGGGGTCTGAGTAGTCTTGCGGTCATCTCTGATATGTCCCTGCTGTGCGGTAGGGTGACTAGTGTGTCTGGCGGTGTTGTATCTTCTTGTTGTGGTCTGCCGTGGAGGTAACGGCGGCATGTGCTTTTTGCGATACCCAAAATACCATGCGAGGACTGTGAGAAACATTACATAGGCCAAACTGGAAGAAAACTGACAATAAGGATACAAAAACACCAACTAGCCATCAAGAGACACGACTAATTCTCACTGGTCTCAATAGACATTACAAAGAAGGACACGCATTCGACTCGGACAACACATCCATAATAGCACAAGCCATAAGACCATAAGACATAGGAGCATAAATTAGGCCATTCGGCCCATCGAGTCTGCTCCACCATTCAATCATGGCCGATAAGTTCCTCAACCCCATTCTCCTGCTATAAGACCATAAGACATAGGAGCAGAAATTAGGTCATTCAGCCCATCGAGTCTGCTCCACCATTCAATCATGGCCGATAAGTTCCTCAACTCCATTCTCCTGCTATAAGACTATAAGACATAGGAGCAGAAATTAGGCCATTCGGCCAAACAGAGATATGCCAGGAAATTCCTGGAGGCCTGGCATTCTAACCAGAACTCTGTCAACAAACACACTGAACTGGACCCAATATACAAACAAGTGAAGAACAAAACCGGAAGTAATACCAACCACCCCAGCAAACCGAGGCATATAAATAACAAGCGGGACGGAACACCAACACTTCACCGCAGGCGCAGTGATGATGTTACCTAGCAGCGTGACAAAACGTCTGCAATCAAACACACCAGCTCAGTGAGCAAGTCTGCAACATCATCCACAACATGAGCTACAAATCTTCTCAAAAATTTAGCGCTCCAAAGAGACATGATCATGAAAGAATGAGACATGGTATCAGATTATTCTTATATCTTGTCACCTAAATGTTAATTCAACAACCTGTTAAGGATTCCATAGCTGAGTAGCTGCTTTAAGATGTGTCTGCAAGTACCAAGTACAGATGTTAGGCAATTGGAGCAGAAGAATGACTTAGCTGATTTCAGCTTCTAAAGCACTAACAAATGGCTGTTAGCACATTCAACAGTGTAACTGATGTGCACATCCCACCTTAAATCTCCCCAAATAATGTGATGACCCTTTGTGGTAGTGCGCTTAACTCAACCTCCATCATTCCTGGCCTGCTACAAATGTAACGATCCAATGCAAATGTCAAAACTGCCATTTAAGAAACCTGCCCCCCCTCTAGACTGTCTATGCTACGATTACCCCAATTAATGTTGAGGAACATGGAATCACCAAATGTAATTTACCCTTTTGTCAGATACTTCAGAGACTTTTAAGCGACTCTTGGATAGGCACCTGGATGATAGTATAATGTAGGGTATGCAGGCTACTTTGATCTTAGTAGGATAATAGGTCGGCACAACAACGTGAGCCGAAGGGCCTGTACTGTGCTGTATTGTTCTATGTTCTATGTTTTGTTTTCACTTCAGTGAATTATACATATATCAGCGCTTTAATTGTCCACAGACCGTTTTTTTTTGGGGGGGAGGGGGGGGCCCGGATCTACAATATGCTTCCATCAGTATCACTGCCTGTTTTCTTCCCAAACTCTACCCACAAAGACTCATTTGATAACCGTCAAAATATCATCCTTTCTTTCTATAATAAGTGATACCTTAATCAATAATCACTTTTATTACACCTTCCCCTCTCCTGTGTGAAGATCCAATACCCTGGAATGTTCAGTGGTCAGTCCTGCCACTCTCTCAACCACATCTCTGTGATGGTAACAATGTCACAATTCCATGTGTCAATCCACATCCTCAACTCATTTCTTCCCTATAATACTCCTGGAATTAAAATATAGGCCATCGAGCCTCACCTCTCTACCTGGAGGCTCAACATGTCTAAACTACCTCTGCCGAGGTTCTTTTTTGAAACTATATGCAATAGCAGTAAGGCAGCAGGGCTAACTGCTGAGCCACCGTGCCATCCTATGATGTGCCACTTTTGAACTCATGAACTGTGTCCCCTGCTGAACTTGTTTAAACTCCTCCCAATTGCACTGATGTAGAGGTACCAGTGTTGGACTGGGGTGGACCAGGTCAGAAATCACACGACACCAGGTTACAGTCCAACAGATTTATTTGAAAACACAAGCTTTCAAAGCATAGCCTCTTTGTCATGTGAAGTGAGAAAGTAACACACAGAACACAGAATTTGTAAGTAAAAGATCAAAGGGTCACACAACTGATGAGGATGTATTGAACAAACCTAACATGCTGGTAAATCTTTAATCAGTTAGAAGGTTTTAATTGAATAATATGTATATGTAATTCTCCGAATTTCTTTCAAGTCACTGCCCTTAGAGAACTACTCGTTTTATCAGTGTAAAGAAAAGGTGAAATTTAGGTTAGACAATGCACGTTAGGTGTGAGGCCTTGTTTAGAATCTGCTTGTGTTTTGATTTGGAGTCAGACTGGTTTCATTTCTGAAGTAGGAATTTATAAATCGCTACATTGACCGACTGTCTATAAATTGTGTGCTTTTTGGACAAAGTAGAACGTATCTACAAACAGAAATTCACCCCACAGATTTGTGTGTGTATGTGTGAGGGAAAGAGAGTTTCTCACTCTCTCGCACCCCCCACCACACACACACACACACTCTCTCTCTCTCACCCACACGCACACACGTACTCTCTCTCTATCTTTCTCTCACACACACACACACATTCTCTCTCTCTCTCTCTCTCACCCACACACACACACACATTCTCTCTCTCTCTCTCTCACCCACACACACACACACA